TAACTTTAAAGAAGAATATTTTTGTGTGTTCAGATGATTGTGTCTCTGGGTGCGGGGCCATGGGATGCTTTATTCAATGGAGGAAACATTCCTGCATTTGCTTTGGCTTCGATATGTGCGTGTGCTGCTGGAGTTGTTGCAGTTCTTAGATTGCCTAAACACACCACCAGTTCTTTCAAGTCCACAGGTTTTCATTTCGGTTGAAGACTGCACCGGATTGTTTAGACGAACTCGATCCTGCACACGATTCCAACAAAACAAATTCTTGGAGTTGCTCCTAAAAGCCTGGCTTTCCAGCGCCAATACATAGAGTATATCTTTCTTTAATCTATATATGATATGCTGCATTCAATATTAATATTCATATTCATTGATTTTTTTTATTACGAGGGTTTCTGTACCATAGGTAGTGTAAATGTGTATGTTCACTTACTAAGATGAATAAAGTGGGGATAAGTTTCGCTTGTTATTTTATTTATGCTTGTAGAAATATGATTTGTTACATCGGCTCGCCAAATGTGACTAAATCACATCAGATGATAGTTGGCATGGCACCCAGTCAGTGGTGCAAAGCTAAAATAGTCATGATTTCATGTATACCAACGTATACTAAGAGGATAATTGCTACTATTTTTATAAAATACACATTCTTGATCATACACATACATGAGGTCTCATAAATTAAACATAGCTCTTAATTGAACGTAACATAAAAATTATACTTAAATTACAATTAAAAGTTCAACCAAACATCATACAGTAAATTATTGGCTCAAACTACAAAAATTCTTTACCAACCTAAATCAATTTCCTAAATATTAAAGAAAGTAAATTAATTTTTCAAATCTTGAAATTTAAGTTAGGAGATAAATGATTCAAAGTGGATATTGAACCAGAAATTTACTCACTAGCTGCGTGCGTGAGTGAGAGAAGAAAAGAAAAAAAAAAGGACAGAAAGAAAGAATAGAAAGCGGAATTGTGAGAGAAATAAAATTAAGGAAATAATGAAAGTATTATAAAATCTATTTGTTTAATTAGGACTCGTTTGGTAACGTTCTTGTTCCTTATTTCTATTTCTTTTTAATGAAGAAAAATGTATGGCATGTATCCAATCTCTAAAAATTCAAGTATGATAAAACAAATTGGAAATGAGAAGAGAAACTAGTTTTGGTTGTTTTTAAAATTTCTATAGAATTGTGAGAATGTTCCAAAAAAATGAAAAACAAGAAACAAAGTTAGTTGAAAAATACTTAGATTTCTTAAGAAAATTGGAAACGGAAAACAAGAAACGGGAATGTTACCAAACGAACCCTTTAGATACCCATTCATCAAAGTTATCTTGTTTTCCTATTTACCAAATAGTACACCCATCTTAAATGAGCTCATCATACTTAATTCACCAAGCTCATGACACATACAAAATTCATGAAGGTATTGCCTTGCTCCCCAATTTCTTATAGCCTATAAATAGGTAATGGTTCATTGTTGACAATGAATTCATATAGAAGAAATCATAGAAATCCTAGGAAAAACTTCATGTTCTCCTCTAACTGAAGAAGGAATTCAAGTGGAATTTCTATATTTTCTCCCCAATTTTATGCTCTTCTATTTTTGCTCCTCTTTTATTCTCAATTTTCACATGTTATGGGCACAAGTCTACTATTTTTGTCCAACAACTAAAGGTAGGTTCTAAATGTGCGTTATTTTAGCTGGTTCTAAAGATACGTTATTTGTTTTGATATTTATTATGATATTAGCAAATTATTTGTTGTTTTACATATTTAATATATATTTGTGAAAAGTTTACCATGACAAAATGACAGAGTTATGACATTAATTGTAAAAAATAATTTTCATGGGTGAAATTCATGCGAATGCTATGAATCCGGAAGATTCATTATTGAGTATATATGTTTGGAGACAAAGTTTGATTAATATGCATCTGAAGTTGACAAACAAGTGATTTTTTAGCACATACCAGAGAAGACACTCATATATGGTATATGCTCCTTAAGTAGCAATATATATTTTTCTTTGCACGTCCCCATACCCGTACGTACACAAGGGGTCATTGCTTGGTAGAGTTGCATTCCTTGTGGCTTGAACCAAAGACCTCAATGATTTTCCTTAAAGCCCCAAGCCACCCAAGCTATCCCTTGGAGACTTTTGAAATGATGATATAAAGAGGCATTAGTCTTGTACATATCGTACATTCAAATTTATAGTGCAACTTTTAAAGCTTCATTAAAGAAAAAGAGGAAGAATGTTTGGAGGCAGACTTTGCATATATACCAAGATAATAAATCTTTTGACCCTCTTAATATGAAGTATTTGGATGTTCCAAATCTCTTTGAATCTCACGAGGAGATAATAGATAATATTGAAGTAGTTTTTAAATCTCCTGAAAAAATGATGAATTCTCCTGAAGAGAGAATGAGCAATGAAGATATATGTCTGACAAATAGTGCAACTGTGTACATATAATATTGAAAAGTAGAAAATATTTTTCCAAATTGACAATGCTAGAAGCAAAAGTCAATACAATATTAGGTTCTGCAAGCTTGATTGAAGGTTTTGGAAAAACAAATATTATTTTGCCTAGAGGAACAAAATTTGTAATTGATTAATACATTGTTCTTCAATAAATCAAAGAGAAATCTAATGAGTTTTAAAGATATATGTTGCAATAGTTATCATATTGAGACTGATAATAAGAATAATGTAGAATATCTCTATATTATATGTACTATCTCACATGGAAAATGTATATTTGAAAAGATGTCTAATTTATCTTCTGAATTATATTATACTCATATACGAATAATTGAAACATATGCAACAATGAACCTGAAGTTCATGAATCTAAATATATTTACAATTTGGCATGACCGACTTGGTAATCCTGGGTTTATAATGATGAGAAGAATTATTCAGAATTCACATGGACATCCATTAAAGAACTAGAAGATTCTTCAAGCTAATGAATTATCATATGATACTTACTCTCAAGACAAATTAATCATGAGACGATTACCAACAAAAGTGGGGACAGAATCACCTGTGATTTTAGAAAGAATTCACGGTGATATATGTGGACCTATTAATCCACCAAGTAGACCCATTATATATTTTATGGTGTTAATAGATGCATTTAGTAGATGATGCTTATTTTTAAGTCGAAACCTTGCATTCGCAAGATTACTTGCTCAAATAATTAAGTTAAGAGCACAATTTCCTCATTATACAATTAAGAGCATTTGTCTCGATAATGCTGTTGAATTTACATCTCAATCATTTAATAATTATTGTATGGTAATTGAGATAGACGTTGAACATCCTGTAGCTCATATTCATACACAAAATGGTTTAGCCGAATCATTTATAAAACGCTTATAGTTAATTGCTAGACCATTACTTATGAGAGCTAAGCTTCCTGCATTTGTATGAGGTCATGCTATTTTGCATCCAAAAGTACTTGCACACACTAGACCAACAGCCTATCATAAGAATTTTCCATTACAATTAGCTTATGTCTAAAAGCAAAATATTTCCCATCCGCGAATCTTTAGATGTGCAGTATATGTTCCAATTGCTCCACCATAACGTACTAAGATGAGCCCTTAAAGGAGGTTAGGAATATATGTTGGGTTTGATTCCCAATTGATCATTAAATACCTTGAACCCTTGAAGGGTGACGTATTTACTGCACGTTTTGCTGATTGCCATTTTAATGAGACAAACTTTTCAACATTAGGGGGATGAATTAAGAAGTTAGAATAAGAAGTTACATAGAAAGCATCATTATTGTCTCATTTAGATCCCCGTATAGATCAGTGTGAACTTGAAGTTTAAAAGATAATTCATTTGTAAAATATAACAAATAAATTACCAGATGCATTTATAGATGCTAAGAAGGTGATCAAGTCATATATACCAGCTGCAAATGCTTCATCGAAAATTAATATCCCAATGTACCAAGTTGTAATTAATGAGTCTACAACTTGCCAGAAGCGTGGTAGACCAATGGGTTCCAAAGATAAAAATCCTCGAGAAAGAAAAGTAGTCAACAATTGAAATTGAGAAGGTAAATATTCTAGAAAAAATTCTAAACATGACTACTCACAGAGATACTGAAAAATATCAAGTATCTGAGGATAATAATGAAATCTTAATAAACTATGTCATGACAGGAAAAAATGGAACCAAAATAATGTAGTTATTGAAAACATTTTTGCTTATAATGTTGCTCTTGACATTTTATCTAAAAATAAGGATTCTAAACAAAAATCTATTGATGAATGTCGACAGAGATGAATGACTAAAGTGGAAAGAAGCAATCAAAGTAGAATTAAACTCACTTTCACAACGTCAAGTCTTTAGACCGGTAGTCTAGACACTAGAGAATGTCAAGCTTGTGGGATACAAATCGGTAATAATGAGGTCACAAGATATAAAGCAAGACTAGTTGCACAAGGTTTTCACAAAGACCGAGTATTGATTATGAGGAGACATACTCTCTAATGGTGGATGCAATTACACTGAGATATTTAATTGGTCTAAGAAACATTTTTAGTTGAGAATGATGATTCTGCCTGTATAATTGATTCAGGTGCCACTAATCATGTTTGTTCTTCTTTGTAGTTCCTAGAGGCAGCCGAAGGTCGGAGATATGACTCTCAAAGTTAGAATCGGGGAGGTCGTGCTAGCATCATGTTGTTCTCTAGAAATAGAACTATGTTATTAGATAATGTGTATATAGTTCATAAGATTAAAAAGAACTTAATTTATGTTGGTTGTATGCTGGAACAATCTTTTCCATTTCTTTTACTAATGATAAAGCGTTTATCAGAAATAGTGTTGAGATTTGTTCAGCTAAGTTAGAGAATAACTTGTATGTTTTAAGACCTACTTTAACTAAAACAATTCTAAACACTAAGTTGTTTAAAACTGCAACAACACATGCTAAAAGACAAAAACTTTCTCCTAAATAAAATGCCCATCTTTGGCACCTTAGGTTGGGCCACATCAATATCGATATTGAGAAATTGGTTAAAAGTGGTCTTCTCTATGCGAGTTAGAAGACAACTCTTTACCAGTATGTGAGTCTTGCCTAGAGGGAAAAATGACTAAAATACCTTTTACAACAAAGGGTCTTAGAGCCAAAGAACCCTTAGAACTTGTGCATTCATACCTTTATGGTTCGATGAACATTCAAGCTATGGGAGGGTATGAATATTTCATCTCGTTCATAGATGATTATTCAAGATTTATGTATTTTTACCTAATGCAACGTAAGTCTGAAGCTCTTGAAAAGTTAAAGGAGTATAACACTAAATTTGAAAATCTATTAGGTAAAAAAATTAAACACTTCGATCAGATCGTGGTGGAGAGTACATGAATTTGAGATTCTAGGACTATATGATAGAACATGAAATCACTTGTCAACTCACAACACCTGGTACACCTTAGCAAAATGGTGTATCGGAGAGG